TAAAATTATTTCATTGACAATGGTAATTTATTGCTTCGTTGAAGGTTGCAAATCATCCAGATATAAAAAGGCAAACGAGGATAACAAGATTTTCTTAACATTTTTTGGGTAAGTTATTAGTTTACTATTTTAAGTAACTTAAGTTTACTATTTTTAAGTAACTTATTTCCTCGTTTACGCGGAGTAAATTATCGTAAATTATTACAAAATCCCGTTTACGCAAAGGAATTATCGTAAGTTAATACAGATGTAACGCTCGGTAGCTCTGTTAATTTTTCTCTGCGCTTACAGTAGTAATAGTCTAACCTAAAATTTGTCACATTTTAAAAGAGTATTTTGTATTTGAAAAAGTAAATGTTAAAATTACTTGTATCAGACATATAAAATGTTTTTTTCTTTTTAATTTTTATGTTATAATATAAAATATATTTTAATGCATTATATATATATAATTTGATTGGTATGTTACTGACTAGATTTCCAAAGGACCTGAATCTTCGAAAGAAGTGGGAAGAAGCCCTTATTAATTCCGGTCATACTCAAAAACATGTGGCAAGGATTTCGAAATACAGTCATATATGCAGCCTACATTTTACAAAAAGCTGCATCAAGACTATTGGTCTTTCATGTGGTCGGTTGAAACCGAACTCTGTGCCAACAATATTTCCAAATGTACCAATAGGAAGGTACTAATCCCAGTATCTCATATATAATTAGTTGGAATCTTTTGTAAGTTCCTTATTTCATTATATATTTGTACATTTTTAATGTAATTTTTTTTTAGTACGGCTGATATAAACAATACTGAATCATCTAGTACACCATCCGTGAAATTAGAAAGTGGTCAATGTGAAGAAGAAATTGAAACTGTTCAATGTAAAGAGGAAATTTATGAAACTCCTTCAAAAAAGCGAATCTGTTATGCAGGTGATATAAAATTAGGAGAAATAGAAAATATGTCACCAAACACGTTAATCAAATCAATGCAAGTATTGAAGAAGTCATGCGACAAGGACAAAATGATCCATCGATTGAGAGTACATCAATATCGCCAAAAGAAGAAAATTAGCTAGAAACAGCTTACAGACCTTGGTGTATAAACTTCGTACAAAGATCTCCTTTCTCAGATTTCATCAGACATTGTACAGGACCTGTATTCCATACACACATCGACAGTTGTCAGTTAAAAAAGTGTCGTATGGTTAAAGGATAGGGTATAATGTGACAAAATAGATACTTGTAAGATGTTGCTTGTGTATGTACATATATGTGATATTAAATGTATGGAAATGGAAGAGTTAATGTGTAACTACTACTACTATTTACATTTTAATATAAAACTTGCATTCTTAAAATTTACAATTTTATTTTAGCAGTTTTGATCAATCCATTTGTACAAGACGCATTTGGTATCTTTTATATAAAACATTAAGTGACAAATTTGGAGGAGTAATTTCAAACACATCATATATATATATATTCGACATTTTTATATTATTAGTATACAGTATTGTTAGAATTTACAAATTTGTAAAAGATTGGGCAGTAATAGTCTGCCTGGAAGAAATTGTATATTTCTTGATACATATTCATAAAAGTTGAGCAATTAATTTATTTAACAGTAGTATCATAAATAGCATTGCTTTTTGTGTCAGGAAAAAGTATCAAATAACAGAAGTCACAAAGTTTACATCTTTCTTTTCATGATAATGTGTGTGTATATGTGTATATATAATATATGTATATACTTTTCCTCAGCAAAGTTGTTTTACATACGATTCAATATACTTTGGATTGACCGCAAATTTGTTATTTCTCTCTCAAGCTCTCCACCATTAGGTTTACTAAAGAGAGTTGTTAAACACTTGGAGATAACATCCTGACACTTTGTTATTATTTTTCTCCTATAATAAAGAAAGTTTTAAATTAGTATCAAGTTTAACATTGCGATTTTGATAGCAAAAGAAATTTTCATTTATTGCAATTTTGATTTTAAAACATTAATTTATTTTTATTTAAATTATGTTTTGCTTTCTTTTTCTTTAAAATAAAATATTCTACTTTAATTTGTAAAAATCTGAGTTTTATTTTGTTTCTAGCCCTTACGATAGAAATTATAATTTGTAGCTAATACTCACCTGACAAAACTATTCGTTATGGTCATTTTTTTAATGAAATGATTAACCAAGTTCGCTGTTGATTCAATTAGATGGAATTCATTGCCTTCATTTAACCAAATACGAGTGTTTTTGCCAATCATTCTGAAGACAGATAGTTCGTGTACGAGGTGAACATTTTGCAATACCAGAACACAGAAATTTGTATTTGATATACTTACTTATCATAAATGTCTAAAAGATCTTCCATTGCTACTCCCAATTCCAAGAAAGAAGTAATAATACTAGTATTAGATACCTTATATTTACATGCCTTCATTTCCAATTGTTTCACTAGAAAATCTAAAATATAAAAATGAAAGAATTTGTGAAAGGAATATGATAAAACTTTATTGTCGATATAAAATCAAATACATATGAAATATAATTACCAATTGGGAAACAATGCGGTGATCCAGTATATTCTTGACCAAGTAATTTAATTTTACACATTAAGATGGTCATTTTATCTTCATTCGATGGTTCTGTTGCATTTTCTAATTCTATAATCATTAAGAATTCATTAGAAAGTTCAGAAAATTATTGTTACAATGTTATAAATATGTAAAATATTGTATACCATTATCAATTATGTTAGTCCAAATTCCTTTAATTAACATGTCATCTTGATGACCCGAGCAATGAATTATAGCCAATTTGCATTCCCAAAGTTGTAAGGGTTCTGCATATTCTTCATATAACTGTAATTAATGTTGTATATAAGAATCTCAAGGAGAATACAATTTAGATGAAATTTATCTATTAAAATTACAAACCTGTGTAATATCGAGTAATGAGGAATTCAATCTCAATTTTGCATCTGTAACTATCATAGAATCGAACAGGTTTTGCTGATTGCTGATAATCTCAAGTATCTGTTAAATATTTGAGAAAACAAACGATTATTAATTAACATAATAACCTAAATATTAAGGCATACATGATGGCGCATTTAACTTCACAACCTAGACCTCCTTTTCAAGATATTTTTTAACTGCATATATAAAAGAAATATAATCTAGATTATCAAGTCAGATGTTCCACCTTGTAAATTATTGGATTCATGATTATCGATAGCTTGAAATATGTACCTGTTGTTGCATTCTAGCTACTTCTAATTTATCTTCTAATTCGCGTAAGAAAATTCCAAGATAAGGAGCATATCCAGTTTGATCGCTTCGCATACATACAACAGCGCGTGCTAGATATTCGACTCTCTTTGAGAGTGATGTTTCCGATCTGTAAGAAATGAATATAAATCTTTATATCTTTGCAAAAGAATCATGTATTACAAGCAATATGTGTGCATACCCGACTTTGGTAGCTAAAGAATCCAAGATTTTTGCTGCAGCAGCGTGATTCTTATTTCTTTCGTAGAATTGCCAAAGTAATTCAGGCGCATTGACACGATTGAGGTAGGTTTCTAGCGAAGGTGCAGCAAAGGCAACCAATTCACCATGAAGTCCTCTATCAATCATCCAAGTATAAATAGAAGAATGAAGAGTCTCGCATGGTGCATGCAGTGCATCGTCTATGATCTCGTGTAACTAAAAAAAAAATAGCGTTATAATACATTTCAAACAATTAAAAAAATCTTACATTACATACAATTTCTTTCGCCGGCATTACTACAGCACTTGACGCAGTTTGTAAAGGTGGTCCTGGCTTGCTCGGTATAGTTGGCGTTAACGGATTAGAGATGCTCTGGTGATACAAGTGATCTAGCATCGTGGTAAATTCCTTATAAATCTCTAAACTGTAAATAACATGAAAATGCATTAAAGTATTATTGTGTGTAATATAATTGTATAGGTATTCATAAGGATATGTACTGTTGTTATATACCGTTTCATAAAAGCCAGATTTCCTTCTTGATCCTCTATAGGTTCATTGTTCTTATAATAATGCGAAGCTGCATTATTGGGATCTATCCTTTCCGCACAACAGATACACAATTCAAGTACACCCGTGTAGAATTGACATGCGACAAACTGTTGGCACACTGCATTCAAATTCAACCTGGGTGCTACCTCTTTACAAAGCTGTGTACATATTTAATAAATAAGTAAAATTAAACAAGCATTGCCATGTGTTGCGCAAATAATATTATGACATACCGTTAAAGCAGATTGCAGATAACATTCCTTTTCCTCAGGATTGGTGCATCCTTTTGCTTTTAGAAGAATTTCATTTGCCTAAATTTATGAAGATAGTCATATTTATATATAATTCTTATAATATACAAATGTTGAGATAACTGTAATTCTGGGGAAAAAAAGGATAATATATTCATGTTACCTTCGAGCAAACAGCATCTTCGGTTCTATATAAATTGGGACAGACTTCTCTTAATTTCGCACTTACGGAATCCACTGATGCATTATCTCCAAGATAACTGCAAGATGTTAACTGTTAATTACACTGAAGTATTTTTATAAAATTCATAAACTTACCTATCAATCAAATGAACGATGAGTAGGGAAGATATTTCGTGGCCTATTAAAATCAAATCTCTGAAGGTAGCTGTAGAAAATTGAGTAATTTGATCCTGAAATATATCACCATAGATTTTAATTTGAAATAAAATCTTTCTCCAGAAAGTTTAACTAAAATTAAATAGTAACTACCTTTGATAGACAATTGACGATGTTATTTAGTTGATTCTCGCATAATATTTTCCATAAACCCAAAACTTCACATGCATGAGTGATGAAAACTTTTAAAGCATCCAATGAGTTTCTTTCTTCCACAATTGGTTCTTGAAAATGACTTTGAATCGTTGTTTCAAAACCATTTGTTATACCTCTACTTGTGCTTTGCCTGTATATGTATTTAGTTTTAGTTTTAATTGGCTTCCTAATTAACTTATTATAATCTAATCAAATTATCGCGCATTAATATATCAGGAAATCATGTTTTAGAAAATACGTACTGTTTTGTGATATGCGTATTTTTGTTCAAGAAAGATCTTAATGCTTGCAAATGACTTAAGATCCAAGCTATTTGTGTTGTTGGTACTGTACTGGATATCTGAAAAAGATAAATAACATTTATAATTAATAAGCATGAAAGTTTCAAAAATAAAAGTAATAATATAGTGTCTCAAAGTTGTTCAGACAATCGAGGAAACATTTGTTGCAAAATTACGTAAAATAATGAGCTTTCTCCAATATCACTTACCACGTTTTTGTTACTTATCGTTTCTTGTTTTATACATCTTACATTCCATATAGGACGAAGTATTCTTCCTACATATAAATATAATCCACTATGTTTAGCAGAGAAATGTTGCAAACCAATGTCTGTGCTAAGTCCCATTTGCGTGGGTGTTCGGAAGGCTTGAGTTCTAGAATCGAAGCTTGGCACTCTGGGCGTAGACGTGCGTAAATCTGCGATGATAAAATTTATTTTTAATATAAATCGAATTATTTATCGAATATTGTACGGACATTTAAATTCTATAATGTACGGAACAATAATATACCTGGAGTTATAGTAGGAAAACCAGAATGCATATCAATTGGAGAATATATTCCTGCTATTCTTTGACCACCAAATAAGAAGAATGCACGAGTTGCCCATTCCGCCACCTAATAATCATAAAAAATGCTTATCGTTATTAATGGGAACATAATATAAATATCTTATACAATGAGAGCTTTCCAGCAAGCGATACAAGTCGACACAAACATCGTTCTATCTTTCTTTTTTGGCAATGAGTAACAAAGATAAAACGATACTTGTGTCGACTTGTTGGAAAGCTCCCAACATAAATAAAATTTTATAATATGTTGTTACACCCGCGCCTGAGACGGCTCTTAGGTTCGAGCCAAATCGAACTGTTATCGAAAGAAGTTACAAAGCATTCTTTTGACAACGAGCTATTGTTTGTAAATGGATGCCCTGGAGATTCAAAGCTGAGCGGTCGAGTCGTTTGGCCCGCTATGTTATAAGAGATTTGTAAAAGCGTTGCTAATAAATGTATTAATTCCGAGAAGCTGTGAGTTTTCATTTCTCCGTGTGAATGAGTGTGCGAACGAGAGTGGTTGCGAATACAGAAACGCGAGTTAGTCGGGCAACAATATATAAAAATATATCATTACCTGAGCATTTTGAGAACTCTCAAGCGTCGCCAAGATTAGGCACGTAGCACAAGCTTGTTCTAGAGATTGTGTTTGAAAATATGCGCGTACTACTTCAGTATCAGGCCCACGCTGTTCTAAGAGAAGTTGTTTCAATATATCTACAGGACGAACTTGCATTAAAATTATCGCCCCCTGCAACAAAATAAATAGAATAATAATAAACAATGTATGCGTATGTATGATATAAATACGATAAAAATGTACCTATTATATACCTGTGCTGTTAAAAATATAAATTTCCTTGGTGGTTCCATATGTTGGCGCACTAATAGAGGAGGCTCACCCTGAGCACTGCTTTGCTTTTCTATGTGTATAGCTGAATCTCTTATGATCTCCTCCATAGCCCAAACTGGGCTATCAAGAGGCAAAATACTCTGAGTTTCCGCCAAGTAATTTGTGAATGGATAAGCATCGTTGCTTAAACACCATGCGGTTTCCGTGTCACCACCGCAAACAAGAAAGAGGGTCCCTAGAAAATATTCCAATACAATGAGTCACATAAAATGTGTTAGTCACATTATGTTATAAAAAAATAATTTACCTTTTCGATAATATGCCATTTGCACTTTTCGTGGTCTCATTACTGGAGCATTTGCAGCATAGCCCGGTGGTAGCCTGACATGTATCAATTGTAAACCTTGTGGTCTGCTCGAGGGATTTGTAATTGAGGTGCAGCTGAAGTAGAAACGTGTTCCCGTTGCAGCAACAACGACCAAATTCAAATGTACCGATTCGGATTCCATTATGGCTGATATGCTTACAAGAGGTCGAAAATTGTTGCTATCCAGAGTTCTGAGAGAAAGAAGTTGTATTAATTCTCGATATTCATGCAAATATTATATATATTAGATATTATATTAAACTATTAACAAAAGATCACTTACTTAACAACATGGACAGCAATCTGTACCAGGGAGGCTTGAGATAATGAAGTGATTTTAGATGCGCCACCATTATCAATATCCCAAACCGTGATTGTACCTCTATCACCCAAAGTGTACAAAATATTACGTGAATCGTCCACAGATATCTGTATTATAGCTTCTTCCTCTGACAGTGCTATAGTGACAAATGATGGTACCAGAAATGACAATGGACCTTCTGAATGATTAACTTTTTTACATCGTTTGCCAAACCAGCTGCTCTCTGCCTATATACGAAAAAATTCATTAGTGTAAGAATTAAGAACACTAAAATAGAGAGATCTCGGTTTTAAGTTTTTAAAGATTTTCAACCTGATAATATATTTCAAATAGCGATCCATTTCTACCACCGAGAAATATCCTGCCGCTATTGGTGTTAGCAATTGTAGTGATTCCTATTCCATCGGTAGTAACAGTAAAGATCGGTTCTGGGACTAACTGCATTTCTGTGGATATACAAAGAATGATTAAATTTAAAGAATGATTATTAACAAACACAAATAAACAGAATTGTTATAAATTATTACCTCCTCCATCATCAGGTATCGTAACACCAAGAATAGTTATTTCTACCGTTGTTGTAAGAATTAACAAGTATTTCACATAACTCTGGAAGATTCCTGCCTTAGGCTTTACTAAACCTACGCTTATAATAGTTTCATTCAAACCATCAAAGTAAGCGACATCAGACCTGTACAAGAGCAAAATTTAAGCATTTTAGTTCTGCGTATATAAATTTATATTTATCAATAAAATGTAAAACATTAGTACTTACTCATTTTCATATGACCATAGATAAATATCGCTGTCAATTGTAAGCCACGCTTTTGAAATTTCTGTAAAAAGGCCCATCATGCAATGGCATTGCATATCTATATTTTTAATAAGGATTTAATATATTTGATTGATATTAAAAAACTGATCCGTAATCAGTTTTGACTCTCGTCCCATGATTCAGTTATAAAAGGTTGATTGAAGATTGCAAGTAAAAGGAGTAAATATGTAATCTATTTTTGGGACAATAAATTGATATGTAATATTTACTTTCACTATTTTAAAAGATATAGAAAGGATACGGCCAAAGTGTTCCATCACTTCAGAAGGCAAAGGAATTTTGCTATGTATCTTTATTTGATTAATATTTGTTAAAGCCACTGACACACCATTTAAATTAGGATAGTCATGATCATCGAGACCACTAACGGTTGGCCCACCTATAGAAGAAATATATTAATTATAGCTAGTTTATTTTCAAATTAGCATTAATATTAAGTAATTTTTACAGTTATATGTACGGATTTCTTTATGTAAATGTATAACTTACCTTGTACATTGTATCGCATAAGATTAATTAAGGATGGAAAGTTACTGTCTGCAATAATATGTTTATCTACCATTTTCCCAGCCATCTCTAATGAGTCTAACTGCATTTTTAATGGCTCTATTTCTGTAAGCGCCATATTCCTCATTTTATAAAAGTATTGCTGAAAAAAGGTGATATATGTATAAACATGTAAGTTATCGCAAATCAGTTTAAATGACAGGAATATATAGAATTATAGAATATAGGGCTGTGTTCGAGGACCATGCTCTTAGCACTAGGAGCGTGTTCTGTCCTTGTTCAACTTCCATAAGTCTTCTTCTTCTCTCCATTAATGGCACTTAGGCAAATCTGTTTAAATACTGTCAGGACAAACCAACAGTCGCAAAAGCGACGTAGTTGCAAATGTTTTAGGTCACAAATGGCACAAAACTCGTTAAAAGATGATAACAAAGAAATTAATTTCTTGTTAATTCCTCAAAAATTGTTATTGGGACAAAACACACAGTCACATGAACGAACACGTTCATAGTCTCGACGAGACTTACTTTCCATAAGTAACAAAGATAGAGAATGATGCTCTAGAGTCTAGTGCTAAGAGCGTATGATTCTCAAAGGCAATCCAGTAGAGCGATTCTGTAACTCGTTATGCAGTATTGTTATCGTTTTATTGTAAATTCCGCTTTTTTATCATATACCTGACAACGACAACATAACGATAACGATATTGCATGAATCGCGCCCCTGAGCTTGAAAGTTTGAAAGAGATAAGCTCTTCTTTATCCCTTTGGAACTATCTCTAGTATCAAATAGCACAAGACAAACGCTACCTTTAATGCATAAAAAACAAAATAATTTAAAAATTACAAAAATAAGGCAACGCATTATGTGACAAGTGATACTATTTTAGAAGGGAGATAACCTTATAGGTTAGATCTGGAAAACGTGCACCTTTCATCGAAATAATAACGCAATGTTTTTAAAAGCGTAGAATAATATACGATGAATTGACATAATCACGGCACATACTCGATAATATACTTACATAAGCTTGCTATAATTATTTCGATGTAAGTAGAAAACATCAAATGTAACTCGGGTAACTCTAACCTCGTTCGCGCCAGACCGGCATATTCGAATTAACTCACCGTCAACGGCAAAGAGGATTCGAAGTACTGTACCACACTGTACTCGTGGTACTCTCGTGTGCATGATGCGAGACCGTCACGATCCAATCGCATAATCGCTTTGACGAACCCGCGCTCATTAGAACGCTATAATTATAGTACTTGGATACATTTATATTTCGAGTTACAAAAATTTTTAAATAAAAACCCAATATTTGGATTGAGATTTTATAATCTACAGATATGTTTTAGTTAATCAGGCAGAACAATATAGATTTAACTGCAATGCTATCAGATTTTGCAAGAGATAAGGACAGATATAAAGAAAGAGATAAAGGAAGATGATCATGATAGATATAAAAGGTTTTACAATCTAAAGAAATCACGGCAACCAAATCCTTGTGGCAATCTTGTATTTAAAAAAAATAATGTTTACATATTTTTTATTACAGCCTCGTAAAGAGTAAATTTACATAATCATTAACAAAATAATGATTGCATAATTGTATGTTTATAATAAATAGTTTTTTAAGATAATGGTGATGATTCTATGTTATTCGTAAGGATGATGTAATGATCACAATTGTATTTGCTATTAAAAAAATTTTCTTAAAAAACAATTTTGACGAAAAGTTCCAGTAGCATTCTTATCTAAATTGTTGTATCAAATATTATATATAATTGTTGTATAAAAGTTCTGTAACATGTACATGATGGCAAATTAATAGAAGCATAATTAAGTGATAAACTTAAGGAATTATAAGAGGAAAATAAACTCTTTACTTATAATAAGTAATGATAGAATGTTAAAAATATTTGATATAAGAACACAAATAAGATGAACACTTGATTTATTTCTCTGGCAATTCATTGCTACTGTTACTGCTAGTCACAGAGGAATGTCTAGTCAGTTGCGGCAGTTCAAAATGCCACTTTGAATCTGGATCTATATTCAAACTAACTTTTTCATAATTCTGCAAAGGAGGTTTTGCTTTAATACCTAAAGTTGTAGGTCGATTAATGGGATCCTCATCCAACATCATTTTGAGCAAATTGTACTGCAACAGAGATATTTATTATCAATTTCATGTAACAATAACTCTAATTAATGTATTATATACAAAATGTAATAAACGGGATAATAGAACTGATATATTCTTTTAATTTTTTTACCTCAGCAGGATAGTTCTCCGCAAAATCTTTCGGAAAAATGGACTTTTTTAGATTCGATAGCGCCACTATTCTCTCCATGTCAGTAAAAAATGGTGTAAGAAGCTCAAAAAAGATTATTCCCAAGGAGTAAATATCCACTTTATAGTTGTAAATTTTACCGTTTATCTGTTCAGGTGACATATATAAGTGTGTGCCAACACATGCAGTATGCACATTGTTTTTTAAAGAAACAGTCTCATTTTCAGCCGCAGGTGTATGAGCCCTATCGTAACCCTCGGTCATCGCGGTCACGAGACCAAAATCGCCGATCTTTATCTTATCGTCATAAGCGAAAAATATATTTGATGGCTAAAAACAAATTTTTTTTTATTACAAAATAAAAAATAAAATAGATTTTTGTCATCTGTATCCTAAGATAGACATTACCTTTAAATCTCGATGAATTAAGCCCTGCAAATGCACATACTCCACAGCATCCACTATTTGTTGAAAAATATTTAGTACCCGAGAAAAATCTCTTGACGTATGCTGCTTTAGCCACTCTCTCAGACTGAGTCTTTGGCACAGCTGCATTTGTATGTATAGGAACATTTTCGCCGACTTCTGGGTGTTCGGCATCTTGTTTAATTCTAAGAAAAACGATTTTTGGCGTTTGCGTCGTGTTGCCGCCGCAGTATCTTTTGCCGTTTCTTTCGCCGCAGTATTATTATCAGTTTCTTCAAACACGATACTTTCGGAATGATCGGTTTCATTAACATTAGGCAACTCCTTTTCAGTTATACTACTCGAAGAGGACAAGTCTGAATTATCGGTACTGCAATTGTTAATGCAAAACGAGTTGGCATCCTGCCTTTCGTTTGATCTTTCAAACGTAATGTATGAATCATCGTTCGCGTCCATGTTATTGAATTCTAAATCTTCATTAGCACTTTCTATGGAGGACTGATCGGTTTGTGAAACATCAATGTATACGGAATTAGGTTTTGTCTCGGTCTGAGTTGTTTCCGAAAGAAAGTCAGTTGAACATTTTAATTTATCAATCCATTGTTGATCGTGCTCTTCTTGCCATCCACTAGGAGGACATTCCAACCAAGCGTGAAAGTACCTCACAATATTGTGATGATCCAATTTAGCTAATGCTTTTACCTCTCTCAGTACGCGATCTCTTGAATCTTGGCTGCAATAGTATTTCTTTATAAAATTCTTATCCAGTTAAAATCCTATTGTTATGATTGTACTTTAAGTGAGTGCGAGTGCAACTAGGTACTGATTGATTATTCTGTAAATTTAGGAGTCTTAACAGACTATATTATTACAAAAATCATACATTTAGTATAATTTTTGTAATAATATAGTTTATTGTTTGTATCAATAGAATAAAAGAACAAAAATTTTTTTTGAATGTTAGCATTTAAAAAAAGATAAGTACCACACTTTTTACTACTTAAATTTTACTTAAGAATGTACTGTATACAGCCAAAAAAAAAAAAAAATAATTGAGTACTGACCTATTTGACAAGGCAATTCTTTTAATAGCATAATTACAATCATCGATTTTGTTTCTGGCTTCAAAAACCACACCATAGCCTCCTTTACCCAAACAATCAACTGGTTCAAAATCCGTTAAATAATGCGATTTAAAGTTATTCACATTTTCACTATCATCATTAGTGCTATCACTTCTTTTGGTTTCTATTTGTCTTTCAACTATCAAAGGCTGAAACATAGTATATTCATTTAATTTAAAATAAAATATAAAAAGAAAGAAATAGGTATCAAAATAGCAAAATAAGAAGGTAAAAAAAAGAATATAAATAATTATGCGGTTTATTGATTTACTTACCGGAAGTAAGACATTTGTAGTAGTTGTCCTTGCTTTTAATAAACGTCGTGTTGACATAAAATTCAATAGAAGGGCAGTTGTAAACGCAAATATTAAAATTTCTCTCCTGGTAACAAAACAAAATTAAACTTAATAAATAATATATTTTATAAATAATTAGAACTTATAGAAACTTACCACCAATGCCAAAGTGGCTGTGTAATTTGAGCATTATCTTCCTTTTGAGTATAATTTAGCATAGATTTTTCCGTGATATATAAAGTATCAGAATTGCTACGATTACATTGCTGATCGTTAGTTAATTGATCGTTTGAATATAAGTAAAATCCATTACCTGTGGACGTATGAATTCATAATCATAAATTTGTCCATATCTATTATTCTATATTCATAATCATATTCTATTTTCATAATCATATTAGCAATGTTAAAGATATATTGGCATGTTTAAGTATTACATACCATTAATATATTCTGAATTGTATAATACAGACAATGCTATTGCATTCTGTGCTTCATTTGCTTCAATAATGGAAACTTCATCATTGTTATTATTATCTGTCAAAGTATCTGTAACGGCAGTTACTGAAAATTTAAAAGTATTAATAATAAATCTCAACTTTGCAAATATAGAGTCTAATATAATATGAGACGTCTGAGAAAGTTCAATTGAGCTTACTAGCTGCTGGATATGGCTGCCATGGATATTTTATGTGTTGAACATACATCGAATTTTTGTGATTGTGATTTTCTTGCACATATAATTGTCTCTCATGCATGCCTAAATATAAACCTGGTCCAACTGCAGAATCCGATCCCCATTCCCACTGCGAGCTATTAAATAAGTTAATTTTTTCCAAAGCTCCTGAAGTTATAGAAATTTGGGATGCGTCCTCGCGCCATATTGCAACAATTGGAGAACTAAACTAAAAAAAAAATATTTTTATCACATTAAAAATTTTGCACATTAAAAATTATAGTTACACTTGTATATTATTATATACTTGTATTTATTATACCTTGTATTTCCATAACGTAACGGTAGGATTGCTTTTATTGACAGCCCAAATCAAACCTTCTGGAATAACCACTTTGATTTCCATATCTGAAGCAACAACTTCATTGGGACAAAAAACATCAGGAGGTACTAGTTCTAAATCATATTGTCCAACGCTGAAGTTCCATCTTTAAACAATAATATTATTTGGCACACATCTTATTTTTTAATTAAAAATAGGATTGTAAAATGTATTTAGTTTACCTTTCATTACCTGTACGAGCTTCTACAGCTCGCACAGTTTGCTGAAAACGTTGAATAACAAGTACATCTAGTTCCACGTAATCTTGACGATCTGTGTTGTTCTTGCATCCAGAAACGTTACATTGGTACAAAATTTCTCCAGTATTGGGTGACACGCCTATTTTATAAAAATTATATATATATATATATTAATTACAAAAAGTAAAACGTAGTTTTTTTTAATTGTTTAATTTTTAACATCACAAACATTTATATCCAAGTTTTTAATTAAAATTCTATTTTAAAAAACTGTATTAAAGTTTATTCAAATGAAATTAATTGAAAAATATGACTTTGTAATCTATTATCTCTTATAAAGTTTAGTTATCTAGAAGCATCTTTTAATGCTTACTATCGAAGTACTTGATATATTCATTATGGAAAATCCATTTAATAAAAATAAATTTAAATAGTAAAAAAAAATAGTAAATCTTACCATAAGAATATAGTTCTTTACCACCAGAGAAGACTAAATCATCGGAGTAGCGAAACGATGAATGCAATAACTGATCTGCTGATACCGGCACCGTTTCTAAATTTTCTCCATCAAATTTATACAAACCACCGTACAAAGATGGGATCAAACGTACCCATTGTCCATTATTGTTAAGCTGTAAATTAATACTTTATATTCAGGTATGTTTTGCCTCAAAAGGTAATACATTATTTAAAAGTGGTAAGCTGTTTACAATAATATCCAATATTAAAAGATTATTCTTGTAGAAACTTCCTTACTTCTCTGCGATGAATACTGGATGACAACATCGGTCCATTGTTAAAATCTTTAGTCCATAGTATCTTGCCATGGTTGTTAGCATCCAGGGCTGATATCTTCCCATCCAATGTATTGACAAACACCAAACTGGCGAAACAACACACATGTTTTAATAAACACAAAAGTCAGCTACATCAAATCCCTAACATATAATTAATATTTTGCTGTTCAATTATAACTTTTAAGTCGTATATTGATCATCTCATTGTTTGTCTATTGTATCCTCCAAGCCTAGAAATTTCTAGAGACTTTATAGCCTTCAAAAGTGCGAGTGCGTGTTCTCATAATGCATTTTACTTGTTTACTCCAACATGTTGGAAGTTTATAAAATTCTCTCGAAGATAGGCTTCGACGATAGAAGATTAACAGGTAACAGGTCAATCAAATTTTCGTTCAATTTATCTTCCAAGTCCTGTGGTTATGTACAAAATCATGCGGGACTTTTCATAGAAGAAAATGAGAATCATCGACACAAAGAAACGTGGGAAGTAAATTTTCTTTGCATATATCACGATTGGATTTGCAGAGGAAAGGGAAAGGTCCGTCGATCGGAGTTAATCACCTGCGTTCATTCTTCTTCAATTGTTTGCCGCACAAGTTTAACGTATCTTCAGCGGAGACAAGGAAGCACGCGAGCGTGATCAGCACTGTGCAATAGAGACATATTTGTTGGCATAAACGGGACATCTTCTTATCTGCGAGGCTGATCGACGTTCGCACGTAGCATTCTGCTCTGTATCGCGTTTTATCGCGATGTTAAAGATTACCGTAGGTGAATGACAAAACGCTCGTAATGTTTACATGGGATATCGACCGACACGTTTGACCGATACATCGGACTAACTGACTTCCTCCTGCTGACGCGATGACGATGTTTGAAGCTGTGCGCACAACTAACTAGATGCTTTTGGTCATCATTCACGTACATATAACCTGGTTGCACCTGGAAGTCAGGAGAAAAAAAAGTGTCGCTCATAGAAAAGAAAATAATATATATATTATTATTACAATATTTTAATTATTAATATAAGAACTATTTTTCAGATGTACGTACATTTTGTAATAATTATGTTAAAATATAAAATTGATCACATTCAAT